CCAAGTAGCTGGGACTACAGGCGCCCGCCACAACGCCTGGCCATTTTTTGGTTGCAGCCATCATTGTTGTTTGGCGGGCCCGGGCTGGGGATTCGAACCCACCACCTTAGGTGTATGTGGCTGGCACCTTAGCCACTTGAGCCACAGGTGCTGAGCCAACATAGCCTTTATAGGAAGGGGAAAATGTCACTTATGGACATTACCTTAATAATTTGTTTTTCTTTTTCAAGATGGGGATCTTGGGTCTTGCTATATTGCCCAAGCTGGAGTGCTGTGACTATCCACAGGTGAAACCATATAAATAGATGGTAAAGACAGGGCCTTGATCTGTCATCCATGCTAGAGCACAATGGCATCCTTATAACCTCCAGCTCCTGGGCTCAAGTAATGCTCCCAGCTCAACCTCCCAAGAAGATTAGACTGACAGTGCCCACCACCATGCCTAAATAATTTTCTGTTTTTTGTAAAGACAGTGTCTCACTAAGTTGCCCTGTCTGGTCTCCAACTTCCGGGTTGAAGCAATCCTCCTGCCTCATCCTCCCAGAGGGCTAGATAACAGGTGTGAGCCACCATTCCAGGCTAATAGATGGTGATTTTTGATGGCACATTTTCTTCTTAGATTTTGAAGCTGAAACTTTTCTCTAGAATCTAAATTATTTGATGCCCTGCCCCAAAAGCTCATAACCCCAGGCATGGCCCTATCCAACCCCACCCAACCAGCACAGGCTAGACCCAGCCCCCAGGCAATACCATGGTGATGCCAAGACTCCAGACATCAGACTTGACATTGTAGCCTTTCTGGTTCAGCTCCGGATTGATTCTCTCAGGCTGCAAAAGGGATCAGAGTGGTGTGAACACCCACTCCAGGGTGAAGGGCCAGGTAAGGGGTCACCTGAGGCTTCACCTTCCCACCCCAAAACATCCTGCCTGCCACATGACAGAGGAAGACACTGAGGCAGGCAAGGGCTGAAGCAGACTTCATGCCCAATGAAGGCCTTATCCTTGTCTCATGGCTACCCTGGCAGCCTAAGGGCCCCATCTTCCTAACAACAAGGCTGGAGTGGGGCCTACACAGACCTTGAGTCTCCTCCATGGGGATTGTCCACAAAAGCGGGCAGGTTAACCAAAGGAGGTTTTGTGGGCAGCCAGCATAAGTCACCCTACTATGGCAGGAAACAGTTGGGAGAGGCTGTGCCTGCACAGCTGGCCCGCCTGGGTAGCTGGGCCTAGGCAGCATCCTTAGGCCATGTCCTCTCCAGAGCTTGGGGAGGATGCAGGGACCACTCACAGCCATGTAGGGCTTGCAGCCAGCATCCATCGTCTTAGCCACAGAGTCCACCAAATAGCCACTGATGCCGAAGTCACACATCTTCACATGGCCCTCCTTGTTGATGAGGACGTTGGAGGGCTTCACATCTGCCGAACGGGACATGTCTCTCAGCCTGTGCTGGTGCACCCCTAATGGAGGTGGCATCACACACCCCCTCTCCAAGCTACCACCCCTTCTCACACCCAGTGTGCAGGTCCCACCTAGGCCCCAAAGAGTGGACAAGAGAACTGATGTTTCAGAGGTGCTGTGCCAGCCAGCAGCCACCCAGCTGGGGGCATGGCAGGACACATCTGGCCCTGTCACCAAGGCGCAGTGCCTGGGTACCATCTCACTCCAGGCCCAAGGGCTAGCGAGGGTATAACTTGTCTAGGTCATGGAGGTCCCACAGGCAAGTGGCAGGGTCAGTTAAGCAGGGAGGTGGGATCCATGTGGAGGGACATAGAGCCTTCCCAAAAACTCGCAGTGGGAGGCAAGCCTCAGAGGGAACCCCCACAAGAGTACTTATACATCCCCCCCCACACACACACACAGCACCCTCATGCTCTTGACAGGGTCATGGATAAGGGTGGGAACATACAAAAAAGGGCCAGAAGGTTCCATGCCAACTGCCAACCATGGTGACCTGATGGGGCTGGGATGGGCATAGAGCAGTCAAGGGGGCCAGCCTAACTCATTTTTAGAAAAGCAGTAGGTCCAAAAAAGTGGACTAGTGCTCAGTAGGGAAAAGGAGCCACTACACCACGCATGGCCTGGAGGAGCCCAGAGACACATGCCAGGCAAGGGGCCAGATAAGACTGGCCCACCATGGGGACAGCAGACTATCAGCTGCCTCCAGGAGAGGGGGCAGGGACCCAAGAGAATGTTCTAGGCTAAGGCAGGGAAGGTATCCTGTGTCCTGGCAAGAAGCTAGTTACAGGGCCATGTACTTTATCAGGTGAGCGGGTGCACATATCACCACTTGCACCCCATACATCAAAACAGGACTGGCCAGTCCTTCCCAGGACAGACGGCAGCCCAGGCCCTGCTCCCAGCACTAGCAAACACAGGGGAGGTGGCTATGGGGACAGGTGGAAAGTGGCCTGGACCCTATGAGGATATCACAACCACTCTGCCCAAAAAGACCCTTCCGACTGGCTGGGCCCCACCCTGGGGGGTGGTGAGGGTGACAGGACACTGACCTCTGTGAATCACCGACAGCTTGCTATGCAGGTGCTCCAGTGCCCGCACGATCTGGTAAGGAGAGAGAGATAGGACTGTAGTTATTCCTGGCCATATCAACCATGACAGAACAGAAAGACCTCTGCTCCCGCCACACACTCCCAGCCCTTCTGCACTCCCACCTGCTATCTTGGTGCAGACATACTGGCCTCCTGCCTCTTCTCTGCCTCCTATACCAGCCGTTCCTGGGTAAAACCCAGCCTTCTGGCAGCTGCTCTGCCCCTTCTCCCTCCCCACTGCAGGGCAGCTGTCTACTTTCCTGGAGCCGCCCCTCAGGAAGACTTAACGGGGAGCCTAAGACATGTTATGTTTTAAAGTTTCCAGGCTGGGCATGGTGGCTCATGCCTGTAATCCTAATACTCTGGGAGGCCAAGGAGGGTAGACTGCCTGAGCTCAAGGGCTCAAGACCAGCCTGAGCCAGAGTGAGATTTTGTCTCTAAAAAATAGCCAGGAGTTGTGGCAGGCACCTGTAGTCCCAGCTACTTGGGAGGCTGAGACAAGAGAATTGCTTGAGCCCAAGAGTTCGAGGTTGCTGTGAGCTGTGACATCACAACACTCTACCAAGGGGCACAAAGTGAGGCTTTGTCTCAAAAAAAAAAAAAAAAAAAACAAAACAGTTTCCTTCCATCCTTCCATCCCATCACTGCTTACATTTCCCTTTTTCCTTTGGCTGCTGGGATGCTCAAGCCAGTGTTACAGTCCTTCTCTAGAATCAGTTAGAATCAAAAAGTAAACATTACATTATGGTTGCTAATCTTTCCCCCAATTTAGCTTATACTCTGTAAGCTGCCCCCTTTTAGTACAAGGCCATACTAAACACTAAGTCCCTTTTAAAAATGGCCTGGAACTAGGCGGCACCTATGGCTCAGTGAGTAGGGCACTGGCCCCATACACCAAGGGTGGCGGGTTCAAACCCAGCCCCAGACAAACTGCAACAACAACAACAAAAAAAAATAGCTGGGCATTGTGGCAGGTGCCTGTAGTCCCAGCTACTCGGGAGGCTGAGGTAGGAGAATCGCCTAAGCCCAGGAGTTGGAGGTTGCTGTAAGTAGTGTGATGCCACAGCACTCTACTGAGGGCGACAGTGAAACTCTATCCCTACACACACAAAAAAATGACCTGGAACTAGAGAAGTGCACTCCAAGGCCTGGAGATTTGGACCTGTTGAGGTGTGGGCTCGGGTCTCCTTGACAGGAAGGCTCTGGGCTGGGGGAGTGGGGGGGCTTCTGTACCAAACCAGGCTGTGCACCTGCTGCGTAGACAATGCCTCTGGCTCCACACTGGAACCACTTACAGACACAGCAATCTCGCCCAGAATGTCCTCTGGAATTGTCATGTTTTTATCCAGCACCTTCCGGTAGAATTTGTCCAGGGATGTGTCCATGAGCTCCATGCAGATCCACACGTCTCCCTGCAAGGACACCCAGAGTTCTGTCAGGCCTCCTCCACACAGCCACAGGGCCTCCTGGTGTGGCCCCAGCCCCAGCCGTGTGGCAGCCTCTTGCCCCTAACTCTGCAACTCCAAGGAGGAAACACTAACACGCAAGCCTGGCTGTGCTCCTGCACTGGGCCTCCAGGTACACGTTAGCCAGCACCACCTGCTCCCTCCTCCACAGCAAACACCTGGGATACTCCTGCTGGAGAGGCAGGATTAAGGGGCCCCTAGGACCCTGTAATGCAGAGGGTGCTCAATGAGCAAAGCCAGGGCAGGGGGTCCTGACCTCACCCAGCACAAGACTCAGATGCCCAAGGACCCTGAGGGGCAGGTCACCAGCATGAGTCCCTCACATCCAGCCTACCACCTGGCCACTCTGCTCAGCCCACACAGCCCTTCCCATTCCCAGCCCAGTTCAGCAGAAGGCAGTTCCATCCTTCTAGCTCTCAATTCCTGTCACACCCCAGATCCCACCCTCCTCAAAGGCCTAGAATCTGACACAAATCTCCCACTTCCACCACCACCTCTGCTCAGACCTCCCACCCCCTTGGGTAGCTGCCAGGGGACAGATGGTCACGTGGGCAGAATGGAGCATAGAGGTAGCTGAACACCAGGTCCCTAACTACATCACTTCACCTCATCACCTTTAGGAGGGGCATGCAACCGCCAGCTCCACTTCACAGACAGGCCCAGAGCAGGGCAGTAATAGCAAGGAGGCAGGGAGCTGCAGTCTGGCCGGCACGTGCTACCTGGAGCCCAGCTGTGCTGCCTTTGTCTCACTCCCTCACGTCCCCAGCACGTAGCACACAGGAGGAGGCTAAGTGACAGTAGGCTGCTGGCTGACAGATGGGTTTAAGGGAGCTCCCACACTACCAGCCCCACACAGCCCCTGTCAGGCCTCACCTCTCGGAAGAGGGCCCCGTAGAAGGTGACGGTGTAGAAGCAGTCAACTGTACGCATGTTGATGTCCAGGTCCATGAGCAGCCGCTTCTGCTCCTGTGAGTTCACGGTGGCCCGGATCCGCTGCAGGGAAGGGCTACAGTTCAGGAGCCATTACAGCACCCCTTGCTGTAACATGAGTGCCACGAGCTTAAGAGCCACAACCTGGCCTGCCCTAAAAAGCTTGGCCTCACCACCAGTCACAGAGACAGGGCCCCATGGCAGGAAGTTAACCTGCTCAGCCCTGTGCCTCCTCCAGGCAGCCCTCCCAGCTGCCTCCAGATCCTAGGTGCTCCCTGGCAAGACAAGGTGGGGCAGAGAAGGCCCTGCTTACCTTCACGGCCATGATGGTGCCACTTTGGGCATGCCGCACCTTCTCCACCACCCCATAGGCTCCCCGGCCCAGTTCCGAGATGGTCACCAGGTCATCAGCCTCCACCTCAAAGTTCTTGGAGAAAAGGAAAGGGGGACAGTCAGTGGCTGCCAAGCCAGAAGCCAGTCCTCAGCCCTAGTCCAGTGGAGACAGCTGAGACAGCAGAAAGAAAAGAGGACAAAGTTGGTCAGATCTGGCTTCAAATCTCATACCAGCTGCTCCCTGCTATGTGATCCTGTGCAAATTACTTAACCTCCCTGAGTCTCACACTGCCCTCAATAAAGCGGGACCAGCACCAGAACCTAAAGGCTGCTGTAAGGTGGGTATGAGACAGCGGGTGAAATGCCCCCAGCTGGTTAGAGAGTATCATCTATCTAGGTGCTGTTGACTGAGCACCTGCTCTGGGTTTCAGGAACTGGGGACAAAGCTAAAACAAAGCCAAGTTGTGCCCTCACAAGGGTTCCCTCTGCAGAGAGAGACACAGAAGAAATGAAATGACCAGGACAGCAGGTGGTGGAAATGAGGAAGGGACCTGTGCCTCGGAGGGAACAGCTTTGAGGCCAGGCCTTGGGAGTGAGAATCTATCCCCAGAGGACCTCGGGATGCCCCAAGCCAGGATTCCAGATGGCACAGGAGGTATGTGTGAAACACACAGCCCCAGGTGCTGGCCCTGAGGGTCTCCCCAGTGCACATTCAACACACTGTCCCACAGGGGCCATAGGTGCAGGGCCCACAGCCTATCAGGTCAGAAACCTCTAATCTGAGCTCACCATGGCCCCGTGAGGCATGCCCATTGGCCTGTCTAGACAAGAGGGTCCAAGAATAGGCAACCCAGGGCCACTTGGTCAGTGACACGAGGCTTGAGGCTCTTCTAGAGCTCTACCTTGTCTGCAGCCAGTCACCTCCCCATAAGAGCCCTTTGGGGTCACCTCATCACATCCCAGACAAAACAAGAGGTTCTGCTGGGGGACAGCAGGCACCTACTCTGTCTCCGATGGTGATGAAGGTCCGGGAATCCAGGTTCCGGGGGGGTCTGTGGAGGAACCAGACCTGTGAGCCTCAGAGAGAACCACACCCTTCCCCCACAGAACAAGTGGGCCTGCATGGTCACAGGTCCATCTTGGCCCAGAAGCAGGCCCATGTCACCAGATGCCAGGCATCTACTGTGAGTCAGGTAAGGCCCTACTGCTGGGTGGCCATGGGCAGAGCCTCCAAGACAGGGATGGGCAGGCACACAGCGGGCGGGAAATGCTTGCATGCCCCATGTGCCATCACTCAGCCTGGCTCCCAGAGGGTGCTACTCAGGACAGGACAAGGGGTAGAGTAGGCTAGCCCCACCTTCCTCTTGTTCCCTTGCTGCCTCCCCCATCCCCCATCATTCAGGAAACTTCTCCAGGCTGCGCTGGAGGAGAAACTGAGGCAGACTCACGTGGGGTTGGGCACAGGTGACTTGGACACACAAGATATTCGTAAGTCCTTCTTCCTCTTGGATTTTCCTAAAACGGAGAGAAGGCAAGGAGTCAGAACAATCCCTCAGTCAGTCCACGTCCTCTGGGTTCCTCCTAGGCTGGACAAAGCTGGACAAAGCCGGAAACAGATAAGACTCAGGCCCCCATCCTCAAGAGGCTCCCAGTCTCAGGCCTGAGGGTTGGTGTGTTCAGTGTCATGATGTGACCGTGGCCTCTGTGTCCAGCCCAGGCCAAAGCATCAGGAGGAGGAGGAGACCAGGGCTGAGAGTCCACTGTCCTCACAGGGAGCAGCCTCTGGCATAGGGAAACCTGAGGGACAACAAGGACCTGGAACCTGGTCTCAGATCTGCTCCCCAGACAGCGCTGCCCCGACAGCACTCCCCAGACAGCACTGCCCCTGGAAAGCCCAAGCCCCACCCACCCTTTGCTAGCTCTCACCCTCAAGCCACCTGACCCCTCTGCATGCCTGCAGGCCCACCCCAGTGCCAGTCTGGGGCAGGCATGACTAGGTCATTTCAGAGATGGGTCAGGGATGTGTCTGCTGGCTCCGGTCACACGGTGTCAGTGTTGGAAGCAGAGCCAGCTTCTAGGTGGCGAGGCTTCTGCTAGGCCCTGCCTTCCTTTTCCACATGCAAGTCCTGCTCCCTAAGTTTCTGCTGCAGGCTGGAATGTGCCTCCCCCAATTTCTATGTTGAAATTTAGCTCTGTGACCTCAGAATGCAATCTGATTTGGAGTTGGGGCTTTATAGGGTAATTAAAGTGAGGTCAGTTGGCGGGTTCTAATCCAGGGTGACTGGTGTCCTTATAAAAGAAGAAACTGGGATGCAGAGACTTGCAGAGGGAAGAGGAGGTGAAGAGACACAGGGAGAAGATTCCTCCTTCATGCCAAGGGGAGGCCTGGAGTAGACCCTTCCATCTAGCCCTCAGGAGGAGCCCAGGCTGCTGGGGCCCAGTCTGTGGTACTGTGCTGCAGGTCTCTGCCCCCACCTGCTACACTGAGCCTGGTAGGGTGCCTGAGACAGTTAAGTTCCATCCATCCCAGCTTTGTGGCCCATCCCTTCTCTGAGCCTCCATGTCCCCCTTTGTTAGTATGCAGCCCAGATACTCACCTTGAATGGCTGGATGCTTGCAGCAATGTGGGCAGAGGGCTCTGATTGGGTCTTGGGGTCATCATGCACAGCCTGGCCCAGGGTCTCCCCCACACAGGCCCTAGGCACAGCTCCCACAGGCTGGCAGGGGCCACTGTATCCATGCCGACAAGCCCTGCCCCCAGCCTCAGCTCCCCCATCTGCACAACAGGGGAATTGATCCCAAAAGTAAGGCATGAAGCCTGGGGTCCAGGACAGGGTGGGCAAATTCCTTCCTTCCACAGCCCTGCCTGCTCCAGAGGGCCCTACTGCCCCACTACTCCAGATCAGAAAACTGAGGCCCAAAGACAAACAGTGGGAGCCAAGGCCCACAAAGAGTAGGAAGCAGGGCTAGGACATGAACCCAGGTCTGCTGCTCCCATGGCCCAGGGGCTTTCTGGGAGGTGTAGGATGGACAGCACCCCAATCTGTGAAGGGAGGGCACTGGGCAGCTGCTCACTATGGTCAAGCTGCAGGTAACAGCAGCACACTCATGGCCTTGTCATGCTCTCAAAGCCACTGCACCCAGTCTTGCTCAGGGTCAGTTTGCTCAGCCTTCACCACAGCCCCTGAAGGCAAAGCTGTTCCCCATGGTACAGATACGGAAACTGAGGCACCCCACACCCACTGCCATGCATGACACTGTCAGCATCCCCTTGACAGCTCCACCACCCAGGGTACTAGCCTCTGCCATCATCCACACTGAGAGCTCATTTCCTTTAAGCCAGGCTGTGACAGGAGGGGGGTACCTGGGAGCCCCACCTCTTAGGGAAGGAGAGAGTAGGTCCACAGCCCCACTGTAGGACAGAGAAGGCAGAGCCAAAACCTGAGGCTGGATCCTTGGAGCCTGTCTCACTCAACCCTGCAAGCTGGGCACATCTCAGTACTTCCCTGGGCCTCAGTTTCCCCATCTGTGAAGTGTTCCCCACAGTTGCCTGCCTAGCCAACAGGGTGAGAAGGGGCCTGGCGAGGGCCTATGTGTGCTGTGGCATGTACCACCACATGCACCTACTTCACTCATAGTACGGGGACTGCCTGTACTCTTGAGGAGTCTTTTTGTAACCAGACTCTATAATATTTGTAAAATATTATAAAATATTTTATGTTACAAATTGAAATGGTATAAAGTGCGGGGGTCTTGCCCTCAGCCTCTGCAGGGCAGCCTCTTCCTACTGACCCCCTCACCTTTCTCTAGCTCCAGCCTGCCACCTAGCTCATGTCCTAGGATGTGGGGACATGGGATGCATCCCTCCATCATCACCAGGCCTCAGTTTCCCCATTTGCCAAGAGTACTTCTGTGCCTGTGCTGGGCATCAAGGGCCACCTTCCTATGGCCCTGTGGAAGCAGGTGGTCCACATCCACCTGCTGGTTGGGGACACCAGGTCTGTGTCAGGAGGGACACAGGCTCTGTGGAGCAGCTACACCAGCTGTCAGAGGAAGTAGGTGAGGAGACCGCCCAGAAACAGGCCTCAGGCTGCCAGTGCTATCACTGTTTGCCACAGATGTCAGGGTTTGGCCCAGATGGCCAAGCAGCCCAGGGCTGCCCAGGTGCAGCCTGCCCATTGCCACAACAAACAGAGGCTCCTGGCCACCACAGGAAACCCACAATAAGCCTCTTTGCACCAGGCCTACTCCAGCCTCATGATAGCCCCTAGGCAAGGAGTGAAGAAACTGAGGCTGACAGGAATATCCAGCTACTGACTAGGAAAGGTGCCCTGGACAGGGACACAGCTCCCAGTAGGCATGGTAGCCCTGCGCTCATCTCCCTCACTCCCCTCACCGCTCATTGAGTGAGCCTCCTCCCCACTCCAGGGCCCCTGCACATGCCGTCCCCTCTGCCCAGAATACTCTTCCCAGTTGGGACCATCTCTACCTTTTCTGTCCAGAGGCCCCTATGACTGGCTCTCCCTGCAGCCCATGGCCCATCAAAGGACTGAGGAGCTGCAATTGCCAACTCAGAGAGGTGAGCAGCAGGACACCAGCTGCCTGGGATCCAACAGACCCTGCCATTTCCTGCTTGCAGCAACGTGGGCAGCGGGTGCTCATCCTGGTGCTTGTCCTCAGGCAGTGACCTAAGACCTAGCCTCTTGCCATCTGGCCTCAAGTGTGAAATGGGGATAACAGCTCATCCCCGCCCCCAGGGTTATCAGCGCCATACGCCATACCTCAGCGGTGCCTGACACCCAGACTAGACCAGGATTAGACAGGCTGCCTGGAGCGTGAAGCTCCAGAGATAAGGCCAAGTTCCTGTCCCAGATGTCCCTGGCTGTGGCTCCGCCTGGGAAGGATTTTCAGGGAAGTATCTGCTGCATCAGGCAGGCTGGGGGACAGATGACTCACAGAGGTCAGGCAGTGAACGTCTGGAGGGGTGAATGTGAAAGCAGGTGGATCTGGCTTGGCTGTCCAAACACCAACACAGACACCCTGAGAGCAGGGCCAACTAGCTGGGGCGTGGGGACATTCATGTGCTGCCCTCTCAGGGCTGCCCATGAGGGGTGGGAAATGATGCCATGGCCCACCAGTTCTGCACTCACAAAGGGAGCCCCACACTGCACTTCCCCTCAGCAGCATCACGTGGCCTCTAAGGACAAAGTAAGGCCTGCTCCTAGTTCCTATCCCACTCCAGCTGCTTCTCCAGGAAAAGGCCTGCCCTCTCAGGGGAGGAACTGTGCACTAGCATGAGTGCACTCCATGGGGCAAGTACCCACCATGGAGTGAGCTCCCACTCAGATTTCCGGGGCCATGGGAGGGGAGGGCCCCTGAGTGACCCTCAGGCCTTCCAGAATCTCAGGAGAGTGAGGCTCTCCTCAAGCCTGGCTGTGAGGTTAGCCATACCCCCCAAGCCCCCAGCTATACGGGCAGGCCCACGCAGCTGCCAGTGCTCAGCAGGTGCTAGTTCCATCTTCAGCTTATCATCAGCACTATTATTACTAGTGCACAGTCTTACAGAGCAGGGGTCCATGGGAGAGGAACCTTGAGGGGAGGGGATAGGGGTTCCTGGTGATTGATACATAGTATGTAGCTCAGATTCAGGCTCAGCACTACCCAGGCTCACTGCTTCTCACCCTCAGCAGCAGCCCTACCTTCAGTGGCACTGAGGCTGGAAAAGTCACACAGGATCACACTCAGCACCTGTGGCTCAAGTGGCTAAGGCGCCAGCCACATACACCTAAGGTGGCCGGGTTTGAATCCAGCCCGGGCCCGCCAAACAACAATGATGGCTACAACCGAAAAAAAAAAAAAGCCAGGCGTTGTGGCGGGCGCCTGTGGTTCCAGCAACCTGGGAGGCGAAGGCAGGAGACTCGCTTGAGCCCAGGAGTTGGAGGTTGCTGTGAGCTATGCCATGGCACTCTACCCAGAGGGACAGCTTGAGGCTCTGTCTCAAAAAAAAAAAAAGAAAGAAAGAAAGAAAAAGAAAAGTCATACAGGATCAAGACAGCACTGGACTGGACCTGGCAGTCCCTGAAAGCTTGGCCAACAAGAGTTTGTACCACTTGGGGTCTGCCCCAGGCCACCCAGGATACAGTGGCCTGTGCTAGCAGCAGAAGGCTATGGGTTCACCAGAGCCCAGGTCAAGTTACAGACACAAAAGGACAAGGGGGCAGGGGACTGTCCCCAGCCCCATGCCCACAGCTGTACTAGGCCTGGCTCCTGTGTGTGCTTAAGACAAGGTGACCAGACGTCCCGCTTTTGGCAGGACAGTCCCAATTTTTAAAATTTGTCCTGTGTCCCGTGGCATTTTGAAAAAGTCCCGATTTTTGGAAAGAATGCACGACAAGCTAGGGAACAGTGGGAGACCATGAAGGGAATATATGGTTTTTGGCTGCCCTGTGGCTATTTCACCAGCATATGAGTTTTATATTATTTTTGTTAATTTTATAATGTTAAACTTTAATAAT